TGATCCAATGTTAATTGAAAATTTCTCATTGCGATGTCTAATGTACTATTAGAATATTGCTATCATGTTATTTGTATAATCAGGGTTTGGTATATTTGTTGTGTAAAATAAAAAAAAACAGGAACCCAAGCATAGCGCTTTGTGGATCACCGGGCTTAACAGGTTTGATGGCAGAATAGACATTTTGGTATTTTATGTAGAAATATCTGTTTGCGATGTAATATTTCAGCATCATATGGTATCTGCATGGCGAAATGACTTTTAGTTTTATTTGCAATGATTTATACCAAATGCAGTCAAAAACTTTTGCGATTAGGTATCCCGCAACACATTATTTCTATAGAACTATATCAACCATGATCTTATTTACAGTACGATGTGTTTGCTGTGTGGTGGAGTGCTTAGAATGAAAGCTAAATTGTTATTTAGAGATAATTTGTTTCCGTTCCAGCATAACGACATGTCGTTTTATAAATACTTTCGTGAATGGTTTTGACAAGATGACCAGTAAACATATTTGTCCATAAAAATTTGGTTTTGTTGGATCTTTATTGGTCTTAGCTACTGCCACTGTCTTAGCTACTGGTCTTAAAAACATTTCGTATATAAAATATAACACTTTATCTGTAAATTCTCTTAATACTTTGTCAGTCACTCTTCATATCTGCGAGATTTGTTATTTTTAATTATATATATGATCAATGTTTTGATCTCAATAATATTTGTCGTCTCTATGTAGAGAACTTGCTTTCTTATATAGGTTCTAATTCAATTGTTTAAGAGTTGTTTGTAAACGCATTTTGGAAGTAGTGTTATAAGAGCAGATTCTTTACACATGGCTTTTCGCACATGAATTTTCCAAGTCTTTTTTACTATTTTTTTACAAATTTCTTTTAGTTCTTTGATATCTTTGCGAAGTTGTCTTTTTATTCCCGACGAACTAGTTACTTGCTATAGCTTTCTCGGTTTCCTTTTTTGTTTTAATTTTCACAATTTTTTCTTTATTGACTGACGTACTTCGGTTGGCTGGTTTTAGATTTGAAGTGGAACTTACAGCAATTTGTGTAATTATAAGAATAAAGGGAGCAATTGCGCATTCATATCGGTTTCAGCTTTTCAATAGGTTACGTAGGATAGATTTTTTTTCTAACAATTTAAGAAAATAGTTTCAATCTATTTTATAATTGTTTATACCAGTGACGTACTTATAATGCCGAGGTTTAGATAAGTAGTTCAATAACACTGGGGAATGACCTAAGAAAAGTTCATTAAGCTATTCCACTGTTATCAGATTGTGATGAACTTGTTTTCTTACAAAGCAAACAATCAATATTAATATTATGTTCATGTTGGATAGTCAGTATGTTGAAACACCAGAACTAAGAAACTTACAATTGTTTTCTTGTATGGCTTTGTAAAGGTTTTGCAGGTGTTACTCTCAACTCCCATATATCATTTTTGCCTTTAAACTCTGTAGAGTTTGTAAAATAATATATCAATTCGAAAAGCAATTTTTTTTCTTGATTTTTAGTTTAATTGAAAATATATAACTTAACCCAAACGAATATTTTCAATAGTTTTTAGAAGAGCGAAAAAATTGTTTAAAAAAAACGACTATTAGTACCTTTAAAAATACAAAGATTTTATATGACGATCATTAATTTCAAGTAGTTAAGAAGTAGTGGCAGGCCGAACTTAATTTGGCAGAGAACAGTGGCCATTGTGCGCAACAGAGAAGCTATGTGAATCTACTATGTCTATAATAATAATAAAAAGTAGTTTATCGATAATGTGTCCAGTTATCATGTTTGATATATTCTAAATTTGAATGGCTAAAAAGAAAAAAATCATTTGTCAAAAGACAATTGACAGATTTTTTTAACAGAAAGAATTCACATCTGAATATGTAATTAATGAAAAAATATCCTAAATTAATATTAATTCTTTAGATGTGTTTTTTAGATGTTACTTGGTAATCGAAAATAACATTGATCCAGTGAATCATGTAGGAAGTAAGTGCCTTACAAATCATGGACAGTGATTTCTAAATCCCAATATTACAATATGATTCTTAATATTTTTTTTTTGTTTTTTAATAAAAATTCAGAGTTATATTTATAATCTAAATTTGTAGGTAATGTTAGATTCATGCGGCAAACGGTATAGTTGATCAACTTACTCAGATCCTACGAATTGATTGCAATCCCATTGCTCAACAAGGCACCTCAACAGTATTACTTATGGAAATTTTTTGAGACTCTTGAAATTTTTTTTAACTTTACCGATGGACACTTCTGCAAGAGAGCTAAAGATCTGTTTGTTTGAAAAATTCGTCCTGCATCTAGCTAGAACCGGACCGTTGCAGAAGAAGTATTTCACTGTTTCTGTCTTCTTTCCATTTTTATAATCTACATCCGTACTCGTTAAAAATTTTTTACATATTAAGAATATCTACTTTTATTATTTTTTTTTTGTCAATTAATTATTAATTTTTTTTTATTCTGTAGTTTTTTCAAAAGGTACCACATATTCTTAATTGTACAAACATCATATATTTTTGTGTATGTTTCGTTGAAATGTATAGTATTTACCAAATAAAAAATAAGTAGGATGTATATTAATTACTTTTAATATTATTATTAATATAAATAGTTCATTTGTAGAAACAAAAAAGTGTTACAGCATCTAAAATAAATGTTAGTAAGTTAAATCCGGAGTCATCAATTCACTGCATTAAATCTTTCCTTACAAAGTAATAAACGCTTCATGTTAAAGACAAATGTTAACAGTGGTTTAACAGAAGCATGCCTGAAATATGATTTACTTCTACCGGAGATGCTCATCTTATCGTGTAAATCGCTTAAATTGACTGCATATTGAATTAATGGGCGGGAGATTGGGTGGTTGATTTTGTTGAAACAATGTTAGTATGCAACATTTCTATGCTATCCATTTTTAACAGAATTTTTATTAGATGATTGTTTATGTTGTGTGTTGTGTGTTGTGTGTGAGGGATTTTCTGTTATTTGCAATAGAAGAACTTGAAATTATTATTACAAAATGTTCTTTGCGTTTAGTTGTATTTTGCCTCTTAGCTGCGTAGGAGGGTTTTACAGATATTTACGGTTGTGAGTGTTCGTAGTTGATTTCCAGTTTCAAATTAAAATTTTGACGGTTAAATTTTGAATTTAAAAAATAAATAATTTAACTTCTTTCAAAATGATTATAAATATGTATAAACAAAATACATTATATGCATACTCTAAATGTGATATTAATTTTTAATTTCAATATTATATTAAAAATAATATTAAAAAAATACTTTTTGATATTTAAATATTGATAAAGAAACAGTTAATAAAAATAAATTAATATTAGATATGTACATATATTCCCTTATATATAAAAAAATAAAATATATTGGATATTTTACGATAAGTCGTATGAGAAATATGAAAAATAAATATAGATAAGAAAAACAATGAAAGAAATTTTGTTATAAAGTATTTTTAAATAACAAATTATTCCATACATAGTTATTTTAGTAGACATTAATAGCAAATGTGTTTGGTAAATGTGAATATTTAATTTGTTTTCAAAATAATTTAACAGTTATTAAATTATCGGTACAGAATTTCTGGAAACACCCCGTAAATGATCCTTTATTTCATAGCCGGGGGGTGTTCCATTTTTGATATTTAACAAGATATGGGGTGTCAGAAAACCCTTGTATTATTGTGTTGAACAGAAAATTTCTTTTATTGACAAGTAATGACGTTTTTGATTAAGTTAAGAGTTCAATTTATTCTGTTAATGAGTATTTTGAAAGGAACCGTAAACAAATGATTCACTAGAAATCCCATCAAACAGACAGTATCACATCTTTTTGATGAAAATTAACTTTCGATGTCAGTCGACTCATCTATTTCAACATTCATTCACTTCTCGTTTTCAGTGATGATTCACCTCAAAAATTTATAATTTACATCACATTTGGAAAGGAAATCTTAGACGATAATTCGATGGAGTAATGCTTTTTTTGTAAGAACTTTTGAAACTCATATATAGTCTTTTGAAATAATAATAATTATAATAGACCTTATTTTATTTAATTCAGATCTTAACAATTCATCAAAAAAATAAAGTTCCAAAATTAAATCAAGATCACGAAACGGTTTGTGACCACGTACGCGAACCGTTGCAGTCAATTAATTTACTATCTCAGTAATCCTAGGAATTGTCAACTAGCCTCCGAAAACGTGGTGCGTCTTTATTATGAAAATCACTGATTTGAAATTTTGCAATTCACACAAATTTAGTAATTATTTTCTTGTTTCAATGGTTTCGTTTCTTTCTGATAATGGGGAAAAAGGTAAAATATTTCCAAAATGCTACATTTAGCTTTCCGAATTGTTTACGAAAACATATGAACTCTTTTCGTAACAAGTCTTTATATATGAGCTGTGAAAATATATATAAGGGATGTTTCCCAGCTATATATTACAAATGCAGTAGGTTATTCCTTATCTCCAGAAACAAAAAAAATCGGTTGAAAGGTTGAGAAAACGATTTGCCTTAATCTCGTCCAATTCTTTAAAACATTTATTGAGATATAGAGTGTCAAAGAAAATTTTATATAAATGAAACCATTATAATCTTGGTAAATATTGGAAACAAGTCTACACTTAAGATACAATTTTTTTTTTGGGTCCTTACATCAAGCATTCATCTCCCTTATTTATGGAACTTTGTTGGGAAATACTTTGTAATAGCAACAATATTTAAGTCTGAAATAGGATGAAAAAATAGATTTCAATTGCCTATTAGGAAAAACGAGCTTACTTTCTGAACAAAACTTATAAAAATTTAAAAAATCGAACTTTATACTTATCTCAGTGAATCTTAATATGTACATTTTACGGATGATTTATGTACATATACATATAACGTGATTTATTTTTTTAATTCATTTAGCTCGATGCAGTCAATAGATTCTAATATTGATGTTAGAAAAGATTTAAATGTATCTGTGAATCACGAAAACAGCAATTTCAATGTAGAAGTGACTTTACCGTCGTTATGGACCACAGACAACACTTTATGTAGCAAAGGTACTTTTATTCAAAATAATAATAACAGCGCCAAATCTAGTCAAGCCGAGAATATAGCCGTCGATTTTGTAAATATGGATGTCCATAATAAGGAAGATTATTCGATACAAACAATTGGATGGGGCAAAATTAAACCGAAATGTTTGCAAAGGTTTTGCAGTGCAAAATGGGCGCTGTTCTGGTTATGCTGGGGTGGAGCTATGCAAGGTAACTATTTTAGTTTGAAAGAAGTATACTAACTGGAAACTATTATATTAATATACTAACCCCAATCTATTATATAAAACTAAAAATATTACATAGCTATTTTATAATATTAGAAAAAAGTTAAAATTGTTTTTGTTGTACAATGTTTCTTCCTTTTTACATATTGGTGGAAATCAAAAATTAGTATATTATTAGAATATTATATGAAATCTAGATATTGTGCACTTCATGATGTATTTTAATATACCAAACTATGAAAAACATAAAATCTTTATTTAACAAAAGTTAACTCTGGTTTTGGCACTTGGACTATAATTGGTGAATAAGTGGATTTGATTGCAACTTCTTCTAATTCAAGAACTTTAATTATGTCAAATACCAAAGTATAAAACGATCCATTGTAAAACAATAATTTCATGCAGTTAAGAAACTTATTAAATAGCAATGAATTACAATGAAATTTTTTTTTTAAATTGATATTTTTTATTTTTTGATGATTTTTTCTTTCGGAATACGTGTACATTTTTCCAGTTCTGTTACATTAGCTTCTATTATGTCATTTAATAATTATCATGACATTTCCAATCGCCATTTTTTCGGGGCTCTCGTATTTTATAACTCGCGGTTTTGATTACTCTCTGGTCGCTATAGTGTGGTGGTTCTAACAAACTGTTAAAAATATTTAAGTGATTGTATTTGATTTTTATTTCAAAGCCAATAAACGCTGCTTCCAATGCGCGAAGACTTTATTATATCTAAACGCTCGTAGCCTCAGCCATATATATAGTATTTTTTTGATTATACTTTTATTCTATTTGATGTACTTTTTAATATTTTTGCGAGTGATGACAGTTTTTGGACACCTGCGCATGATCACTGCCATAACGAAATTGAAAAGATCACATGATAAGGGATTACCTTGTCTGAAGCCTCGCACGGTATTAAAAGGTTCAGAGAGATCCTGCCTTGACGGAATTACTGGTATTGCTCAAGATCATTCCGCAGAGTTGCATTAACTTTGCAGGGATATCGAGCTCAGACATTGCGGCGTAAACGCGATTCCTTATGGGGAATAGAAAGTTGCTTTATAATCGACAAAAAGGTGGTGGGCTTTTTCCAGGATTTGTCGCAGTGTAAATATCTGAGCAATAAATATTGAGTAAATTATAGTGTTTAAATTTAATAGAACAACACTTTATAATAGTTAAGCTGATTTGTAGAGATTTGGGTTATGTGGTAGTTCTAAAAGTGGTACAGCAAGTGTGATTGTATGTTGGCTTTGTGTGTTAAGACGCGACTCTACTATTCAAATTTGTCAGTCCAAAAATATTATACGAACAATGAAACTCATGTATGCTTTCAAAGATCATTGTTGACGGATATTCGGTGGTATCCAAAATAGTTGAATGGTATCAGAAAATTTACTAATTTACTAATTTCTCAATATTATCTCTTTGTATACAAAACTAAACTTTTGTTATTGAAAATTAAAATTTTAATTATAAATGTTTAGAAAAATGCAAAAAAGTAAATATATAAGGTAAAAATAGTCCAATATATTGTCCAATATCTTTCGAATTAAATTCACCTGTGATTTTTTAAAAAAAATAAAAGTAATTTCAAATAGTTTATTGACAAGAGTAAACTACGAAAAACTCGAAAATTTACTTATCTAAAATCAACCAATTTTAATTTTATTTTTAAAAGGATTAATATTTACGTACATTTAATTGTACGAAACAAATACTCGAATTTCAATACACTCGACCTAATCGAACATTGCAAAGCTGGTACATTGTGAAGGACTACTGTTTTGTTTTTAAAATACAGAATTCTTCCAATTGGTCTTAGTCACACTGGAGTGATATTTGAGAATTAATTGTGCTGGAATAATTTTTGCGCAAGATCACACTGGATGAATTCTAGGCATTGAAAACTTGCTTTGCTGTGAATGTGGAAGAAGAAGAACAAAAAAATAAAAGTACTGATTCATTTTTGTTTTCAATCGCCCCAAAAGCAGTTCAACATTTTAAATCTGAAAGTAAGCAAAACTATGTGAAACTAGTTTCTTATTGACATTTTAATGTAGCGTCCAGGAAAACTGAAATCAAAGCTTCTTCAAACAATAAAAACCAGGGCTCTGTTAAGATACACTTTTAAGAATTATTTAACACGTTGAAGACCGCATTGAAAAATCTTATTTCTCACATAGGGACTTCGGTATTTTTATTGTTAATTACGTATATCATTTTTTAAATATATTTTTAGTGTACAATAATTTGAGGTAGACATAATTTAACCCCTAGATTTATATCAATTAAAGTGCCCACGGGCGATTACCCGGTCTCAACATGTGCATTTACTCTCGTAAACCGCATGCCCACCGGTGAGTCAGTTTGTCTTCCACATTCTAGCTTTGATTTTGTCCAGAATCCCCATGTAAAACATGGGTGCCCATCCGCACGCGGGCCGGTAATGTTGTTTCGGAGTAACCCAACGGTTGGCATGCGGTCTTTAACGTGTTAAATAGGAATTTTAAGTTTTCAGTTTTTTTAATTTGTTAAAATGCAAATAATAAATTTAAATATATATTTATATAAGGATTCATCCATATCGTGGTTTATTTCAGGGCATAGTTCTAATGTTACTAAATCGCAGTGTTACTTTCTTCAGTGATACGGCTCTTTTTTCTGATTGATATGTCAATAAACAATTTACATGATGTGATATGTCAGATTAAATCACAAGATCATTTCATTTACAAAAAGACAAAAAGTTACTTTTTTGAAATCAACAAATGTGTGATACAAATCATCTATTCCGATCGGTTTAATTCAATTAAATTTCTTTTGGTGTGAAATTAAAGATATGAATGTAAAAGATATATATGGCCTCACCACATCTTCTTTTTGATTTGTTATGAGAAAAAGTCATGGACTTGTAGTTTTAATGTAGTTGCATTAAGTATCGTGTCGATACGAACAATCTTTAAGTCTTGATATTTTATATCTTTAATCATTTTTACGGTATTCTGTGTAAAGTAGTTTATTTAAACAGTCACTACCTGGTTTTAAAAGTTATTTAGTAGGCCTTGAAGTATTATTTTTCATTAAAACAACAGTCATAATATACCAGTAGTATAGTATACCAGTATAGTATACTAAACGTTTTTTTCTACTTGTGTTTTTTTCTACAATTTTATACAGCACTTCCCATCTCTTTTCCCGGGCCCATTAACATAAATAAATACTCCTTGAAATCAATAATCCTTCAATTCACACAATTTATACCAATTCTAAAAAAAGAAAGTACAAAAAGTAGATTTAAAAAAAAAAAACGATTCTTCCCCGTTATAATTCATACATCCATGTAATTCGTCACATGGGAGTGAGTTGTATGTAAACTTTTTTCAACATTTATTTTTTTGATTTTTCGTGAATAATTTTTAATATTATATAGAAGTAAGTAATTTTTTGGGTGATATATTAATAAAAAAGATTTTCAACAAAACTGCATAATTACTTTTCTTCAAAACGTTTTTGAACTCTTCGGGCAGTGGAAATTGGGGTCGTATGTAGATTTTTATCGGCCACAGTAAAGTAACACCATTTGGCCATAAATCATGCAAATCCATCCTAACTGATTAATATTTTCGGTCACGTGCCTTTTAATAAAAACGTGCACTTAGCTGTAACGAAATCACTTATGAAGATTTATAGTTGCTTGGTGTTTGGTGTCGTTATCTGTTGCTACTTATTAGCGATGTTGTATGACGCTAAATGAATAATTTTATGCAAAGTTTGTTTGCTGACATCGTTAATAATGGTAACGAATGGTACATATTTTTCTTCAAATCTGTCGGAATGAGGCACAAACAAAAAAAAATAATTAATTTCCACACCAGCGTCAATCGTCATAATAGATACTTTAAATAAATCTACACATGCACTACTAAGGTGGCTCAAGTGATATTTAAACAAATTAAAAATGAAGTTTTCAATGAGTGTAGACCAGGAAATATGCAGTAAAATCCATACGAGTTATATTATAAAATTTATAGTATCTATCAGATTAGGAGCACTGATTATAGTAATATTTATATTAAAATGAATACATTACAATATACAAATAAAGTTCTTTTTATAGTAAATTATTTTAAAAAAGTGCTTGAACGAAGCACCGTTAAATGTTAAACGAAGCAATTTTGAAAACATGAGTATGAAAATAGATTTAATTTTTGTGTTTTGGTTTTCTGTATTTTAAGATTTATTTTAATATTTTCTAAATTAATTAATTTTTTTTTCAATACTTTTTATATAAGTAAAATAAAGAAAAAATTTTTTTAGAAAAATAAAAATTACTTGTGTATTTGCAGGGTTAATTGTTAATGGATTTATTAATGTGGTAATTACTACAATCGAAAGACGGTTTGGTCTTCGCTCAAGTCAGACTGGAATTATTGCCAGTGGCTATGATATAGCCTCATTTATTTGTCTTGTGCCCGTCACCTATTACGGCGGGCGTTTCGGTACTTCTAAACCGAAAATAATTTCATTAGGTATCGTGCTCATGGGATTAGGCTCTTTTGTGTTTGCATTGCCGCATTTTTTAGTCGACAATTATCGTGCTACTTTACTGAATATTGACACATGTGTAGACAAGGTCACATCAAATTTTTCTCAGACAGAAGTAAGTACACCAACCCAAATTTAATTGTGTGACTACTATTAAAATTATTAATTTTTTAGTCAAATGCGACTACGAATAATAGAAATCATGAAATTTCCACCGATGCTGAAAACCTCACATGGACAGTTTGGTTATTTTTCTTCGCTCAACTGTTGCATGGAGCTGGCGCATCCCCACTTTTTACTTTAGGTGTTACATATATAGATGAAAATGTTTCGAAGAAAATGTCATCTGTATATTTAGGTAAGTTTGGTGTTTATTTGCAGCTTCTTAATATTTATATGTGAAGATTTACTTATATGGCATTTACTATTTCAATCAAACAATTAATAAAGTATACCACATCTTTTGTTAAGCTGTGATATTGACATTGATAGAACATAGCTGAAATTGTAAAAGAATTGCATCAGTCATTTTAATAGTATGTTTCTTTGCAAATCAAGAGCTTATAGAAGAGTCGTCAAATTGTTAAATTTTAAAAAAAGTAATAACAAATAACATTGTCGAATAAAAAAAGTTTATATTTATATGTCTGAGATATAGCTCATCCGTATTACTGTTACTAATGGAAACAGTACTTTAATATATGCAGTGTTTTCGTTCTTTCAAAGAAGTTTATTCTATAAATATAATAACATGGATTCTGTTTAAACTTCATGTATATTAAAGACCATAGTAATACGAATTTCACTTTGTTGTCTGTTGTGATTGTACTAAGTTTTTTGATTTGATTTAAAGCAAAAATGTAAAATAAGAGGCATTTGTGATGGCATTTGCACAATATGCGTTCTACATTCTATACTATCCCTATGCCTTTCGAGATATTAATTTTGTTTTTAGTACTTGAAAGTTAAATAAAAAAGATGTGACTGAAAATTGCTGATTCTGCAAGATGATTCCACAATTTTTTTCATTCATTATCGCAGATGTATTGGCATTTACGATATGGTTGAGAGGGTTGCATGTCATATTGCGATTATTCAAAGTTTAAAGATGAGGGTGGATGTGTAAGTTAATAAGATAGAGTTTTCATATTGCTGACAACAAAATTTATTGCTTTAATTTTCTCCCAATGGTTTAGCAAAACAGTGCTTTAGACAATAAAATGCATATACCATACATAAATATTGCGTTACAATATTATTTACTAATGTGAATAAATCCGGCATTGAAATTGTTTATTTTCAGTCATAGCTCAGTATTTTGCACTATCTGCTCAAATGAGTTTAACATAAAAAAACAAGCTTTTATAGCACACAACACACCATCATTGTTGTTGCAAATTTAACTTATTTTCAATTGCGTTTGCGTTTGAAATGTAACAATAGTCATAAATGTGCTTGTGATTATTAAATTAGCTCAAATGAAGATACTGTTCAAAGAATTAAGATAATGAAAGACAATCAAAAAATGCAATTAATAACTGACGAAAAAATATATCGTTAGGATAAAAGATGAATATTTGTCATATGATAAATAAAAAATTACAAAATTAAAAAATTATTTATATTACAAAATTTCATAAGCTAGTTAAATTATTAATAAATGTTTTATTTCGTCATAGTTCTAAGCATAATAAATCTAATATTTTTATTCTAATCTTATTCAATTTCTTCAACTTCTATAACACTTTTAATACAAATCAGCTGTGCCCCTGCTTTCTATATTACACTGATTTGAACATGCAAGTGAATTTCTATTTAATGTTTGCTGAACTCACATCTTTAGATATTCCTATATATCCTGACATATTTATATAACTCTTGTATATTACTCAACCTGTTTTTTGTGAGTAAATTTTGACATCGTCGTAAGAATATATCTCTGCTAACAGCTCGCAAAAATAGTTTAACAACAAAAATATCAATTAATAACTTCATACAAAACATATTATAGATTATCATCTACTATACAATAAATTTATTATATAAAAGCTGGTGTAAATCCATTACTATAAGCTCATGACATTTGAAATTTTTTCCTTGTTTTCCAATTTGCAAAATCTATAATGGAGGTCCTAAATATCGATTATGTTAGCTGATTTGACATTAATTGGTAATAGAGAAAGATCGTGTAAGCGTTATTACCCAATTGTGATAAGTATTTCTCAATTTATAATACGTCCGCTGTGACAACTGTTTTTGATAATGTGTAAGGAATTATAGTAACGCGGTACAAACTTTTAGAAAACTAATTGGAACTATAACGTCCTTTATCAATGAAAACAATTAAAGTTCTTTTACCTATGATGATAATTTCAACTGTTTTTTCTTTATATATATGTAGCAAGCACCATATTCATCTACCATGTATTGAATTTTGTCGCAAGGTCATCTTCACATCATAACTGAAACATATCACAAAATCTTCTAGTTATTGTATCCTTGAAATGATGTAAAAAATATCTTATTTCTTAAAAATGTTATGAAGTTTGTAGATGTTTCCAAGTATAATTGAATTGTTGAATTGATTTTCCACTAATATATAACTTAGGTATTTGCTTTATATAAATATGAAATATATTTCTAAATTATATTAGATGGCAATACATTGATTCTAAAACTTAGTTCCTAATACAAGATCCATGTTTTTAATTTGAAAAGTTTAAAAGATATTTTTTGTTCAATATATTACTTAAAATTAAAAAAAAAAAACAAAAAAAAATATAAAGATTTAAATACACTAACATTTTTCAAGAGCCTAAAAGTTTCTTATCTTTCTATTTTTTTAAATTTAAATAAATTTTTAAACGAAGTGTAGCTAATAATATTGAAGTATACCTTTCGGCCCATACTGTTAGGTGCCACCTATTCAAAATTATCAACGTCTCGTATAAAAAATGAGAGTTTTGATACATCATTGCCAAAATATTAAAACGTATATATTAAGTAGACTTGAAAACTAAATTTTTATTAGAAATTTTATATTAATTTAATTTGTAAGATATCAAAATTTAATATATATAATCAGCATCAGATCGATCTTACTTGATCATTGTTTGAAATTGATTGCAATCAGTGGAGATTGGTTGGCTCCACCTTAAATTTGTTCTTTAAAAAAAGTTATCGGCCATTTTATATAAATCGCGTGTTTCCATAATTCCCAAAATATTTTCTCCCATTAGTTAGCTGTTATCCTCTTAAGTTTTAATCCCTTATTAGGTACTTAAATAATTGAATTATTTGCGCTTTGACAGTATATAGAGCAGGGGCTGCCAAGGTCAATTCTATTAAATAAATACAACAAAAACAGTTAAAGTAATAAATTGATAAGGATTATTAACTTTATTTAATGTAGGAATTTATTACACAATGGCTATAATTGGACCTGCTGTGGGCTATGTTTTAGGTGGACAGCTTTTACTTATCTACACAGACTTTATGAGCGTGGATGCTGAACAGTGAGTATTTAAAAAACTCAGTATATCAATATGTATTATTAACAAATTTTCATTTTTATTTATATAAAAAATTTCAAAGGAATTTAAATAAATGATGATTATAATGGAAGAAAAACTGATACTGTTCGTACACGATTTGAATAGCTATTGAATGCAAGGCAGCGATTATCATGGTTGGGCATCTACAGGGACCAGAATAGCGCTCGAATATTGCGCAGAAAATATCATTGATGATATTGTCTTTTTATATGTCAGTGTGCATACCTAATTATATTAAAAAATGATTCTTCGTTGCGAATAATAGCAAGTTTTTTGCCCACTTGCTTGAATCTTTAACTAACAGGACTGCACCCAAAATCACGCTCATTTATATGGCAACTCTAGTAATAGTTATTTCAGTTTACTGATATAGAGCAGTCATTCTGCACTCTGCAGTCATTCCTATATAGATGTGTTGTCCACCTTGACAATTGTGTACAACTTCTTTCAGTTGAAAAGATGCACCATCTCTATAAATGGCCTGAATATTTAGGTGCATAACTTTTATTTTGTTTGCAGACTTTGTCAATATTTGATATTTTTTAAGTATTTCCTTGGTGGCTAATGGCTGATTTTAAATGATGACTGTCAAATACGTTACTCAAAGTAAAACTCTTGGGGGCGCCACATCCTCACCGCTATATTAAGTTCCGCACGAAGAGCATTGCGTTGTCATTACAAAGTTAAATGCGATCAGACGCGAAACTTGATGTAATCGTTTCCATGGACTTGCGACCCCATCCACCAAAGATCTATGCTTGCAATTGCAAATAGCTGGCACCAACTTAAATATTTTTTTTTTTAAATCCTGTTTAATAAGAACTCCATTATATATAACTTTATACTGAACTCAGTCCTTGCACTTTTATTAATTTAATAGTTTATTTTGTTTATTTAGTTCAAAATGTTTGCATTATGTTCAAAGAATTTGATATACACTAATAATACTATTTTATAGAATTGGGGTAAATTTTCGGAGTAATGTGTGGATAGGAGCTTGGTGGATCGGATTTGTATTTTCGGCTTTGATATGCGTTTTGATTGCAGTACCAATTTTCGGATATCCGAAATCGCTTCCAGGCGCTGAAAAATTACAATCTGAAAAGGTTTCAGAGGCTTATAATGCTGATGATGTACTAAAGAAAGAACAAAAGTTTACAAAGTTTAAACAACTTCCAGTGGCACTTTTATCACTTCTGCGTAATCCAACATTCGTTTTTTTAAATTTAGCTGGTGCCTCAGAGGGATTACTAATAGCTGGATTCGCAGCATTTTTACCAAAACAAATAGAAAACCAATTCAGTATATCTCCAGTATGGGCTGCGCTAATAATGGGTCTTATTACAGTTCCAGCTGGCGGTGGTGGCACATATCTCGGAGGATATTTAGTAAAAAAGCTTAATTTGACTTGTGCAGGAATTATAAAGTTATGTTTACTGGTCACGTTATTGGCTATATTTTTTACGACCTGCTTCCTTTTCACATGCCCTAATTTAAAATTTGCGGGAGTCACCTCTAGTTATTTTATAAATTTGAACGAAGCAGATACAATCAAAAAGGCAAAAACGGAAAATAACTCAGATCTATATCTTGATAAACTGAATGCTGCATGTAACGTGAATTGTGGATGTAATCGATTTGACTATGAACCGATCTGTGGTATTGATGGCATGATGTATTTTAGTCCATGCTATGCTGGTTGTAAAGAAGAGCATGACGTAAACCACACAAAGGCATATACTGAATGCAGTTGTATTAATACAGAATTTAATAATTATAATAGTTCCTTAATGCCAGCAGCAACAAATGTAATGTGCAAATCGAAATGTGATTATTTAATGCACTTTTCAGCGCTCTGTACCGTGCTTATGTTATTTACTTTTCTAGCCTCAATGCCAGCACTCTCTGCTACTTTAAGGTTAGTTCATATAGACTTCTAGTTTTAAAGTCGTTTTTTATTAGTTAATTTTCTTGGTAGATGTGTTCATGATGATCAACGATCTTTTGCACTTGGTATCCAATGGATCAAGGTGCGTTTATTAGGCACAATTCCAGCACCGATGATTTTTGGCACCTTAATTGATAAGAGCTGCATACTTTGGCAAAAGATTAACTCCGATTTATTGGAAACGGGTGCATGCTTGGTTTATGATAATAAACATATGAGCACGTAAGGAAAAATTTAAAATATTAAGATTCTTTAATATAGATACCTATATATTTTTATTTAAAATTTTTATGATTTTATGAGAAACCTTTTCTTTAAACTTGGAGTATGAATAGTTTATCATGTATTAATTTTAAATTTATTTTGTGTTCACAAAAATTAATTACAACATTAAGTCGAAATAAGTTTACTTAAGTTTTTTTTTGACGGAGAATATAGAAATATTCGTTTATTACTTATTCCGGAATATAGGAATTTAAGTTGTAAGAACAAATTTTTAAATTTCAGTTTATTTGCAAAAATTAACGTAGAATAAATTTGCAAAATAAAAAGAATACTATATTACTACTAGTTTTTACTAGATTCTTAGGTTCGCCATTATAATCGTACCCCTCGTACGTTACCAGTGAAGAATTTATCATAACTGTAAAGATTTGTGTTGCTGTTAAAGTACACAAATGGGGATAATCCTAAGTTTTTAAAGCGTACGTAAGTAAAATTCGTGTTTATCTCCTGCTTATAAATAATAAGATTTACAAATCGTTTGTTGGCCTAAAGTCACATGTATTCTTTCAAACCGTAGACATACCTTACAACTCCATACAAAAATCTCCCACATACAGATTTTCAATAAAATTTTCAATTTTCGATAAAAAAATGACTGCCAAAATATTAGTTAAGTATTTTACAGTAGATCCTTGATAACTTCAATTGATCCCATTATTATATGAAATCAATTATAAAAGATATATGTATCATAGGATGTTACAAAACTCACTTAAAAAAATTATAAATACATAAATTCGATTTTGATTTCTTATTCACAAGAGTTAGTAAATCTTGAGACTTACAGGTTCTAGAATTGCAGCATTTTGAACTTTTTCGGTTATATACAAGGTGAGATGAAAAAACTGCAACCAACTTCAGACTGCTGTCATTTCTAAACCGCTCGTCCCACAGCTGTCAGATTCTAGTGACAGCTCATTATATTGTTTACAAGCGCACAAAAGCATTTTGGTGGGAATTTTTCAGAAAAAAAGTTATTTGTGATGGAATTCAAGCGTGATAGTGTGATTGCTTTCCATTTGGCTGGAAAACCACAAGTGGCTATCGTTAGAGCCCTCCAGCATTTAAAAGTGAATAAATGTTTTGTGTCTCGTACCATCGCTCGTTACCATGATACTGGTAACGTCAAGGAAGTGGACGAAAAAAAACAGCAACATCGGCAGAAATGGTTCGAAAAGTGAAGAAGCGAATTGAACGAAATCCGCGTCGCAGTGGACGAAAAATGGCTCGTGAGCTGAACATATCGCAATATGCCATTCAGCAAATATTGAAAAATGAGCTTGGACTAAAGCCATTGAAGTTCCAAAAAGTGCAAGATCTTACTGATGCGCAAAAAAAAGTTAGACTCGAAAAAGCTAAAGAGTTGCTTCGCTTGGCCGAAAGTGGTGAACTGCCGAATTTGGTTTTCTCCGATGAGAAACCATTCGTTATCCAGCAGTTTGTAAACAAACAAAATGATCGTGTTTACTTGCCAGAGAGGTCAGCTGAAAATTTGCAACTTCTGTTGGCCACCACAACTCAAAAGCCGGCCATGGTGATGGTGTGGGCCGCCATAACAGCCGATGGTCGCTCGCCGCTCGTATTCATCGACCGTGGGGTCAAAATCAATGCGCAAATCTATCGCGAAAATATTTTGGAGGGAGTTCTGAAGCCCTGGGCACGCAAACATTTCGGCCGCAGACCTTGAACATTCCAACAGGACTCAGCACTATCGCACTCAGCACGCGCCACCCAAGAATGGTTAAGAAATGAGGTTCCTCGCTTCATTTCCACCGCACAATGGCCACCAAAATCTCCGGATGCCAATCCGTTGGACTATTGTGCCTGGGGTATTTTGGAAAGCAAGGTTGGCACTAAAAAATACCAAAGTGTCGATCATCTCAAGCAAGCGCTTCGCCGAGAATGGGACAAAATACCACAGAGCCACTTTCGGGCAGCGTGTGATGGTTTCATTGGCCGTTTGAAGGCCATAGTTCGTGCCAAAGGTGGCCAATTCGAACAATTCTAAACCGATTCTCAAATTTGATGTTATTTCCGACATTTTTTGCTTTCATTCAATAAAATTTAAAAAAAATGAAAAAATTATGGCGTTTTACTTTGTTGCAGTTTTTTCATCTCACCTTGTATATGCATAACTGCATTTTTATACATATGTGAAAAAACATAAATGATCATATGAAAAATTTCTATTAGTAATCGACTATTATGTCAGACTCTCGTCAAAAAAATAAAAAAATACTATTGTTAGATGAAAAAAATTAAAGTAAATCTTGTATTTTTTAAAAAAAAAAATTAATAAATAGTTTATTATGAATCATTTATCAAAAATAGTTTAAGATCTTTACAAAAAATGTATTATTCAACCTATTTTTTATTCAGGTTATAATCAAACTATTGTCAAAATATCTATTTAGAGTTTTAAGTTTATGAGAATAACTCAGAAATTATATCAAGAATAATTCAATTCTTTGAATATTTCGTACAGAGTGTAATTTTAATCATGGATATGAATTAAAAACTAATAATCTGAAAAATTCCTAAGTTTTAAGTACCATCTGCTCAAAAAGTATCCGGATTTTATTGTTTGTTAACAACTCCTTAAGTAATAGCCCTTTGAAATAAAATTTAAATTTGTATGTTTTATTTACAAAACCCGAGTACTTTTTGAGCAGATGGTACACCTGTTCAAATTTATCTTTCTTCTTATAAACACATTAAAACCATAACACAATCTATATCCCTGCAACTAGCATGGACCGACAGCAATAACCTTGTAATGAAAAGCCCATACCCTACGTAATGTTGCTAGCAGATTCCTATATCTAAAATTAGTAAAATTTCTTAGAATACTTTAAATTCTAAAATAGCTGAAAAACTTCTAAATAGCTAAATATTAAAAATCATTAAATACCTAAAGTTTAATTACGAAAAATATATTTAATGTTGATTTTATTTCAACAAGGATCCTCAACCGGTACCCAACGATTAAATCTTTGTTTTTAAAAAAATCAAAAAACAAAAGTATGTAGAATTTCTACGAAAGTACTGCATGAAATACATCCTGAGTGTGTCAATAATGTAGTGAATACTGCAACCTAGTGTTTACGCTATTGGATCAACTGTATTTTTCACAAACAATCAGTAACACAACCGACGTCATCAATACACCCGAGGACCGGCAGTAACATTCGTACAAAAAGAGTCATCAATCCACTTTAATGACAATATGGCCATATCATTATTTATTTCCACAAAATATGTGTTATATCTTCATATCCGATATATTATACATATAAGCCATTTTTACTCTGACTTGGCCATCAGGATGAGCGTTGGACCGCTTGCTAACAAGCAGTAGTATAGACCAAAGTTAATTGTGCTATTCACTGTGTTTTTTTTCTCGAATGGAATACTGATTGTTTTCGTACATTAGGTTATCGAGTGAGCATGACTATCGGTGTCAGTATGTTTACGAATTTATTTAGTTTACATAAAATAGATCCTATTGCATCATAAAAATAATAATATTTAAGTATTTAAATGTAGTATTTTAAAGTAAGATAAAAGATATAATTTAACAAAACCTACTTATATTCAGATTTATAACTCTAAAGCGATATTTTGATGCTTTTATAATTTTTAATAGCTTACTATATATTTCGTATATATGTACACATATATTTTTAACCTATATCGTTTTCTATCAGGTACATGCTGTGGCTTGCGTTTATTGCCAAATTATTCTCGACGATATTTTTCTTTGGTGCTTGGTGGTTTTATATTCCTCCTAAACATATGAGCAACTGCGAAGTAAGTACAAATGACGTAGGATCCAAAAATAATCCAGAGAAGTCAACTGAAAATACTAACTAAAGAAAGAATTTTATGACAATCACAATGACAGATGTGCTCATGTGTGTTTCATCAGGAAAATAAAATTACATAAATAAATTCATACTTACATTATAAAACGTTGCATGTGCAATCGAATATTTACTTTTTTGCCAAATATACACATTTATATACATATTTCATTTTAAGTTTTAATAGTGCGTATTCTATAGATAATGAATGAAAATGGAAAACGATACTTCTAAAAAATTAGTTAGTAACGTTTATTGGTGGAAACTAATAACAGTTCGGCCATAACTTAACCAAATATGTAGTCCTGTTCCTAACCCCAAACAAAAGTCCAGTGATGACAAATCGCATGATATTGGTGCCCAACTTATATCACCAAACCGTAAAATTTCTCACACAACAAATTCGTTGAGTGGCTTCTGTTGTGGAACTGTCCAATTGAAGGCATATATATTTCACATTCGTGAGATTTCACAACAAAAAAGTTGGTAATCATGTGAATGCAACGGTTAGAATTGACACAGTACGGGCACATCAGAGTTTCAGACTATATACACACCATCCAGTAGTTTTTTATAAATACAAGGGTTTTTTGACATTGGACTTTGCTGACGTATCTAGCAAGTGGAAAATAAGGCTCATCACTGCAAAATATTAGAAACAAAAAATCCTCAGTTGTAAAATAGTGATACTAAGTCAGAACCACGAAATGAATTATTATTTATTGGTGTTCAACAATAAATTAATAAATTAATTTAATTGAAAACAATATATTAATGTTAGTATCACTTGCTGTGGTTGCTTTAAAGCCACTCAAGATTTGCAAGTTCTGATGTTAAAACTTTTAGTTATTTGTGGGCTTTTACTTCTTTAGACCTATAAGTCTTTTTATTTCAATTCAGTTACGGAAATCTCATATAGAAATCGGGAGATTCTATTTGTTCATCTATGTCAAGTATATGTATAATACAGAGCACTTTGTTTGCTTTTGTCCAATTTATGCAGGGAACAGATTGAGATTAATGGGTTATGTTGGGTAAGAATTTACGGTCTCTCTCTTTTTCTCTCTCTCTGTCCGACCTTCGTCATTACATTAGCGCAACTAACAATTTCTAGTTATAGTCACCGATTCTACGTTGATTTCTTTTAATTTCTTTGATTTCGGTTTGTGCCTTGGTTGTATCCTGAGTTCAACTCAAGAAAAGCGAATTTTTTTATTTTAAAAAGTGTGAAAGGTATATAGAAAAGTATGTAATATTAATTGATTTATTTTAATATATCTTTATTTTACTAATTATCAATTTAAATAGTTTTTTTATTTCAGTCATATTCGTACAAGAAAGGTAAAAATTAATTGAAATGATTTAGCCTTGTTAAATACTTTAGATTACCAAAAATATGTGAAAAAGATAAGATCCAGGCTATAATTGTGAACATTTGCATTAGGTTCAAAGTACTTCAGTGATCATAACTATAGCTGTCATAGTTTAATTTTGGTTCGTGTGCCTTAGGTACGGGATATTTTGGGTATTTAGTCCCTAGTGGCTCCCGACGTACAACAGCATTAAAACCGCTATGCTTGTCAGATGTATAATCAACTGTACGTAAGTAACCATCAGAATCTATGAGGCTATATTGGCCTTTTACAATATCATCTTTGCGTGATTCCTGCAGGCTTTTTACATCACCTGTGTGATCATCATGAACTGAATAGGAAAATCCATAATGTGCTGGTTTTTCTGTTTCAACTGTTTTAACGAAAGACGGCTTGTATAGCGAAGAAGGGCCAGCATGATAGATATGCCCATCCAGTTCAATAGCGTATGCTGTGCTCAAAAGAATCAAGAAGAAAGTAATTACCTGCAACCATAGAGAGAGTGAGAAAATCCATTGATAAATAAAAAATAATAAATTTTGATTAGGGAACTACAGTACGTATTGACACAAAATTTTTGCTTACCATGTTTAAGTTATATGTTATAAATTTGGTACAAGCAGATTGTCTTTTTATAAAGTGGCACATGAAGCTCCTGCTAAAGACTATAATCAGTAGGAATTAGTGGCTAACTTTTATATGTTTTCAAAACCTAAGCCTACAAGTGTGTTAAGTTGACACATTTTTTATTTAGAATTTCTTTTTCCATATTATTTGCAATAAACCCACCTAAATTTTAACTTACTAATAGCCAGTTAGGCTACTCTGCCAAAATACCCAATAGATATTTCTTTTTTTTTTTTAATATATAAAGCTTTCACGTTATTGAAAATTTGCATCTCTCGGTGTGAGTAACTTAGCACATGTGTATGAATAAGTCCATTTCGGTTCACTTAGTGTTGCAAGATATTGTCACTAAATGTGTATACTTGTCTTGAGTTGCCTTACTTTGATTTTGAAATCATTAGTTGACCAAATAAATGGTCTTATTTTATTATCATATATCTTGCAGCAAATGTGTCGCAATTAACACACTCTTTGCATCTTGCAAAATGTTTTGAAAAATTTTGCTAATTAATAAAGTAATAAACTAAGCATTCAATATCTTATTATTACATTGACATAGTATTGAAAACTCAAGGAAGTTACATATTTTACCAAAAATCTTTTGATATTTCAAAGTGCTTACAGAAGCCATGACTGAGATCCGTAAGTTTAGCAGAACACTAAAGACTTTTCACATATATACAGGGTTATTCATTTTATGGTTCTTAAAACAAACGAAATTAAGTTGCACTTGTGATTGAGATTTTGATCATATTTTTTTCTAGCATATTGCATAATTATTGCCATTAGATGTAATATTATTTAAGTATCCTTCACGGAATATCGTACAGTATTAAACCCTCTTGAAGTAGTAGTCGGTGACTTGTTGGCGCGAAGCTGACAACAGTTTGGCAATAACTTAACAAATCTACGTTATCACAACTCCGAGTATAAGGATTGTGGGTTATCTATATCAACCAAATTCTTTATTCAGTCTTACTAAAAAAACTCCAGTGTTGATAAATCGCATGAACCCAGTATCCATATTATATCAGAGAAACAATGAAATTAATGTTATGTGGTTTATGACATTATTCTATTGAAACCACGTGTTTTTCATATCTATAATCAAGTAGCTGTAGCTCAAAATTGAGTATTTGTGTCATTTCTTTGTCATCTTTGAAAATGTAGTAGTTTATCAAACCTTCAGACCAAAGCCGCACTATAGAACGACTTTTTGTGAATGCAAGGGTTATTGTGATTGATGGATTTTATTGATATATTCAATAAGCAAAAATAAGACTCATAAGATGCAAGATCAAAAGATCGATTAAATGACCGGTACTGTGAAATAACAAACCATCAAATAAACATATGATGCCTTATGTAAAATGATTTAAAGCTAAGAATATTTGTTTATTTTTTAAGTTTACATATATTCGATTGTATTTTATTTATAAAGTAACTTTACTGAACTTCTATAATACTCAATATAAAACACAGCTTAAGGGTTGTGCCAGTAAAAGTATTATATGTAGATGTGATTCGACGTTTTTAAAACAAAGCTCTTCGTAGTATAGTAAACGCCTACTGGTACACTCGAAACAGCGATATTCATCGTGATCTTCACCGCGATCTCAATGGATCTACTATGACTGCGGAAAAATCAAATTTGGCTGGTTATCAACATGCAAGACTCCAGCTGCATACAGATGAAGAAGTATATAAGTTTCTTGTTACAAGTAACCAACGAAGACGATTACTATGTACTAATCCCTTATAACAGGTGGTGATAACACAATAATATTATCTTGAATATATTATTATTGGAAATCTCAATTTACTAAATTTAAACAGCCTGTTGGCTATATATGACTAGTTGTTGTAATAGGAAATATTATAAATAATGTATATTTAATGTTTCAAAATATATAAAAAAAAAACAGAATAATTAAAAGCGTAATTTCAAGCTTATATTAGTATGTTAATATTATTATATTAGATATTTAGTACAACCCGTTTTATAAAAGTAAATGACTTCAAAAGTCGTACAAAACGTCGGTATAACTATTTCCAATCATAGTAACAATTAACAACCTCCTTGGCTTAATTCCAACACACATTTGCGGAAATTTTTGTGGACGGACAGACGGTTTATATGAAGCTAAGCTTAGGTTGTAATTAAATTATTGCCACTTGGAAATCTGGTTAATGCAATTGTGAACTTAACTTTAATATGTTTTTAAAAGTAAAAGTTTATATTTTTTTTAGTGTTCATGCAAATATACAACATACTATTATTATTATTATTTTTTTATTTTTTAATATAATAGGATATGCTAAATTTAATGTTAATAAGCAGTGTAATAAAAATACTACTTTATCTTTTTTAAACGCGACATTGGGTAAAATTTGTAGTTAATGTAACTGACCTACGTTTTAACCAGTGACGACGCGTGCCCTATCTGGAAGGGTGTGCGGCCCTTCTTTAATGTTGTTTTTACATGTACCACTTATATTAAAATATATGAGATCTTTTATTAATAATAACTATTTTATATAAGGCAACAATATATTCGCGCAATATTATATTAACAATTCATTAACAAAATAACATATTAAACAAATTAAATTAATAATTTATATACAAGTTTAATATTATATCAATATGGAAGAAACAAAACTTTTTACATAATTCTCGTAACATCAAACCAAATTTTTTCAAACAAAAGAGTTTGTACTTAGAAACATACATGTTTGTGCAGTGATCAAACAAAATCGAAACCACTTGCAATGTGCGCACAAGTACCCCGCACAATAAGAACAGAAATTCGTGGGTGCTGCTGTTAAAAGGGGAGAGACGAAATGTGATAAAAATGTATGGTGAGATGAGCTGCAAACTTCAGCCGCTCATGCAACCACTTTGGCAAATCATCATGTTGGATTCGTATGCATACAGTTGATATTCGAATAGAACAGAAAATTACTCTCATACAATTCCCACTATATAAATCTCTATTTCTGATATTACGAACGGGAGCACACGCGCATTATTTTGTTCATATGTAACGTATGAATGTGCGGCCAACTTCTTTGCACACAAAGGGGAGAGACGAAATATAATAGAAATGTTCTGTGATTTGAGCTGCAAATATATGAGCACAACTAACAAGTATAGCGGCTAACAGAAGCAAATTAATTGAGTTTTCATAGACAATTATATTTAATTGTTTTTGCTAAAACTTTAAAAATATATATTTATATGGAAATGTAATAAATAATAATAATTCTTGATGTAAAGATACTTAATAAATTTATATACCTATGTTATTTAACATTTTGCAAATTATATTAGGGTGTTCACCGCACACCTCCGCACCTTAGAGCAGTCGTCACTGGTTTTAACCATATATATAATTAGCAATTTGATACTGCTTATAGTTTGAACAATAATGTGATTGGATTACAGATCTTTGAAAATAATAATCAATTGCAAATTTAACATTAAGCTTAATTTAAGACTTAATTTTACAAGGTGACCAGTTTGTTAATTAAACTTTAACAACAAATTAAAAAAACTTTAGAAAAATATCCGAACATAAAAGTCAAGTACGGCTTTGGGTCAGTTGATTAAGATGCGCTAATTCTGAGCTTCATATTTGGCAGGGCACGAGTTGATTCCTGGTACTTGAAGTTTCAAAAAATTATTTACGAATTATTAAAAACACGAATTATTTCCAAGACCACAGATGATGGGAATTTGAGAATACGCGAAATAGCTGTATAGTCAACCAAGAATTCAATTAATTAAAAATAATGTAAACTTAAATTTTGTTGTTATAGTTCACTACTGCTCGAAAAACCTCTTTTACATATTTTATATAAAATTTATGGTATATTTAAAATAAAAAATTATATTTAAAATAATACTATGGAAATCTTTATAGATGAATTATAATCTGTTATTTCAAAATTTTTATTTGAGATAAGTTAAACGTAAATTAAATTTATTAACTGGTAGAAGTAAGGAACAATGATATTTCTCAAAAGTAGAAACTCTGTTTTCCATCAGGTAAAATGTGCCGCAAAGATGTCCTGTTTTCCTAGTGGAGCATAGGGCCCCAGGAAGTATACACATTTAATTATTTAAATCCGAAATGATCGATAAATTAAATATTGCGAAGATAAATTACCTACATAACCTGTGTAAACCTTTATATACATACTGTTCCTTCCGATCAATGGATTGCAGATGTCTCAGAATTATGTGAGTAAGAATATAAATTTTGGGGTGCGAAAAACAACACATTGGGATCTTAAATATACAGAAACAAGTTCATGAAAAAACCTGCAATTATTTTGCGATAGAGAAACTGTGTAAATTTTTATTTGTATTACAGTAAGACCATTTAAAGACAACAATAATTAAAAAGATAATTTAATAATAATTAAAAATTTAATAAAAATAAATAATAAAATAATAAAAATAATTAAAAATTTAAAGAAGTTTAAAAGGATAGCGGACATTTCTAGAAACCTTGACAATTGAAATGTCTTTTAAAGTGTAATCTTTTAAAATATTGTCAGTGAACAATTTTATATACCATAGTACCAAAAAAATTAATATTGAATCTATTCCAAGCTGCTATATTCAAGCATTACATTCAAGTTTTGTATTTGCTACTAATGGAACAACGAAGTAATATATATTACTCGCAATCTTAATAAACTGTAAATATGGTGAAATTGTTAGAATGCCAGTTGGAGTTAGAAATACTTCATGTATACAGATGAAATGGGACTTCTGTTTCAGTACAGGTTAAAATTATGACAATAGATTGTTTGATACTCCAGCGAAAAAGGTGATTGAAGCATTAGTTGGAGGAAGAAAGTGTAGAGGCAGACCGTATCTCCGGTGAAGTGACCAAGTAGACGGAGTACTAACCGGACTTGATGTACGAGAATGAAGAAGGTGCCTGAAGAGACATGCTGCGTCAGATCGAAACTCGGTAACGAGTTCTTATGGCCAAAAAAGTAAGTAATATTGTTTGATTTGAACTCATTTCATCATTTATAACATATCTTTTAATTTATTTAATTATTTTATTAGTTTTGGTGTCCTACAAAATGGAATAAATAAAAAACTAATATAGGTTTACATATTTAATTGAAATTTATTATTGTATTGTTATACTTACACACTAAAAAATTATTTTGTAAAAATTTATAAAAGTATAAAAATTCCTAATTATAAAAAACGCATATCTAAAGCTATTATCTAAAGTTGTATGAATATGGGAGCTGATGTGATGAATAACCTGATGAAGATACTGTGTCTGCTGGTGCTTGTGAATAGATATATTTATTAAGGTAATTATCTAATGCTAAACCAAACGATGGATTTGGATTAAGCGATTCTGTATTTTGCTGTTGAGGATTATGGGATGAAGGTACTGAGCTATATGAATAAAAAGGGTCGTAATTACTTTGCTCGTATGGTTCATATTTCGAATGTGGATTTAGTTCCCCATAAGCATACGTTGAGTGAGCGGTACTGCTTTTTGAAGGCCTTGTCATTAAAGGCATATATGATTTCTCAGGTTCTTTTTCAACATTTCCATAACTATCTATGCATATTTCTTTTACATGATAATTGCGTTTGGTTGTAGTAGATGTTGTTGATGGAGAAGTTTGTGGAATTGTGGCTGGTGTGGATGTAGTTCGTATTGTGGTTCTTGGTGTTCTTGGCATATACTTCGGAGGTAGTGTCGGTTGACCATATAGATAATTATTTCCAAAAGATGCAGTATAATAAACTGACCCGGATGCAACATCATAAGCATTAGGTTTCTGATTTTTATAGTTGTAGACGTAATTATTTGAGTTTATTTGATTGAGGTAATCATTGATATTGTTTTCATCATTATAATAATTTTTGTAGTTCCTCTTGTCATAATAATTAGGTTCTTTGTATATTCGATTTCTATTATTGTAATCGGTGTTGTATATATTTGGTTGAAATAATTTCGCAAGTTCATCAACATCATAACTATTAATGTTCATAGTATCTTTATTGAAATAGTTTGTATTTCTTTCGGTTGTATGAATGAGTGGATAATTAAGCGGTGAAGGTAAATACGAATTCTTTTCCTGAACGGATGTTTCAATCGGATATAAAGATGGAGGTGAATAAGAGGATTTGTCGCAAGAGCAAGTTGAGTCATAGTTAGTTCCACCTATGCTGCTACTGGAACTAGTACCACTGTTGTATCCGTATCCAGGTCTGTAATTACCATAATTTGGAACAAATTTTCGCTGATGAACATGTTGGATTTCTACATGACCTTCCGGTACACGCTGTGCGGTTTTAGTGATTTGTGTAATCTGTTTTCGTGGGTCCGAGTTAATGATGACCTTACGACAGAATTCTTTGCAACCTACTTTGCACTCACAATAGCATTTCTTGAAAGCATCTGGAGTAGCTGTTGTAGGCGGTAAAGTCGATGGCGGTAAAGTCGATGGCGTAGTAGAGGTCGTTGTTCTCTTGGTTCCATAAATTTTATATGGCCTACTTGTTGTATTTATAGTTGTTGTGGGCATTTCAGTTGTAGTAATAATTGGTGTTGGAGTTGATGTTTCTATTGTTGTGGTGGTTGTTGGAACTGTAGTTGAAGAGATTGCAGTTGTTGTTGTTGGTGGTATAGCAGTTGTAGAAGTTGTTGAGGTTGTAATAGTTGTGTATGTTGTTGGCATTGCATCGCATGGTACTTCTTCCCATACTTCCTCCTCACATTCCGAACAAAATTCTGGAAAATGCGCTAAACATGCCGTAAACGCAAATATTGCAAGTATGAAAAAATTCCAAGTAACCTACATATTAAAAATTGCAAAAGTTCCAGTTATAAAACATAATTAATTACAAATTTACAAAAAGTTACAAAAAATAAATAATAAGAAAAAATATTGAAAAATAGTACGAATATATGGTATATATGAAAGAGGCAATGAGGTTAAATTTTGTTAAGGTACATATGTATGTATATGGGGCACAATAGTGCCAGTGAAATGAAGTAAGGCATAACTCAGCGAAACGAAAACTGTTAAAGCCGGTTTACCTTAATATAGCAGTTTTTTTACACTAATTTTTTTTAGCAATTACCTTTCCCATCATTTTATGCTTAATTCGTTATTTGTAATTTGAGCAACCAGAAGTATATATGTAATAATATCTTTTTGTATTTAGGAACAGTTAAGTAACAATCTTATATTATGCAGAAATCGACGCAGCTAAGCGCGTGATACAACTAAATGCACTCTAAATTGATTCAACTATAACCCACTTATTTTTATAGAAAACATAAAAACAAAATTTAAAAACATTTTGTTTATCTTTTGCTTTAATTGGCATTTAAAGACATTTATAAAAATTCACAAGTTTTTAGCTAAAGATATACGATCTTAGAAATGTTTGGGTGTCAAGCTGCAGAACTTTTTGTCTGATCAGTGCGGAAGTGTAACCAAAAGCACGTACATATGTGCAGAAATTTGGGTAAAAATTCTTTTTATCTGAAATTTTACTTGATTCGTTCGTTTCCTCATACTATGAACGTAGGTGTCTTCTTTTAATGAACTATAGTTTCACAAGATCATGTTCCTATGATCATTGAAATCAATGTAACATTTAAATTAAATTTCCCTTTTATACATGAATATCCAATGTCTCATATATTAACATCAGATTTTCTTAAAAAAATATTTAATTTTTGTATTATTCTGTTTAACAGTATAACATCTAAAAAAAAATATGAAATTTAGAAAAAAAAACATAGAGTATAATATTGCTGCATGCCAAATTGTTTTTTATAAAAACAGATGTAGAAACAAATTCGTTCTTCACTGAAAACTCCATCTAGCCAATAGCAACGTCTCTACAGCTTGACTTTTTATTCTGATATGTTGTGTCACCTATGTTTCCGGCGTGATTTATAAGAGCGCACTACTATTAAGTCTCTATCTGCAAACGGTAGTAATATGTACATTTCATCTTATCTATCAAGTATATATATTCAAAATTGACAAAAAAATAAATTTGCTTATATTTAGAGTAAAAAATAGAAAAAAAATTATGTATATGTGGTTCCCACACCCAGTTGATTGACAAAGCACACAGAAATCACGTGGTTAATGATAATTTCTCGTGACAGATAATGTGGGTCATGTGATGTCGTTATAAGAATATTAACTTAAAAATATTGTATTGGACCGGTCGTAGTTCATGTTGTAGACATCTCAGATATTTATGAGCCAATAGACTTGCTGACATAATATGCGTACCCTGCATACGCTTTTTACGCTGAATATTGTATCGTTTCTGGTATTTTAAAAAATTGGAATTCTTCTCAGTATGCGAAAAGTTCCGCTAATGATAAAAAGACAAATATTTATACTTTTTATCATTTTTTATTATTATATATATCTAATATTATATTATATTCCAAGGTTTTTGTTATTTTAGATATTTGTATACTTTAATATGTCTGTAGAAAATGTCATAATTAATCAGTTAATGTTTAGACAATCAATAATACAGATCAAACATTATAGGTTAAAATTATATATTATTTTGTGCTTTGATCATGACCGTAGTTAATGGGGCTTATAGGGGAGGGAACCTTAAAAGTGCTTTAAACCAGATTTTTTAAAGAAAATGGTAATTATGATATGTTTAGTTAGCCTTGTCTAGCAGTAACATATAAATTTAACTAAAGAAAGTTTCCTTTCTTTAAAATAGAGAATAAAATATATATTTAAGTAGTATTTTAGTGTTAAAATGCAGTAAAAGCGGCTCTTTAGTTAGTGTGTCTTAGTTTTATGCTGAGATAACATTATATTCCTTAACTTTCTCCTACTTAAAACATACTATCCTGTGTACACTTCTGACCTTAATATGTATTAGATTAAACAGTACTCAAAGTTTACACAGGATAGACACTTCTGACTTTAATATGTATTAGATTAAACAGTACTCAAAGTTAACATGCAACTTTTGAAAATTTGTTTGTCAGTCCCCCCGCTTACATAATACTAATAAACTTGTTACTTCACAAAACAAAACAACATAATGCACTTGAAGAAGTAGATAGTACTACAAACATTATTAGAATTGAAACGCCATGGGAATAGCAAAGAATAGGTGACTCACATGCAAAGAATTTTTTTTTATAATAAACACTAAAAGAAAAATCCATATATAACTTGTTTTAATAAATCTATATCTCTCTAATATCTCTCTAAAAGTCATAACATTGGAAATTATAATCAATTATTACTTATGATTGACTGCAAATACTCATGCTAATACTTTCGGTATAAGTAAAACATTTTAGAGGATATAAGAACGAATTTCTCCATTAGCCCTATTTTCTTCTGAAATTTTATGTCGGTCACACATTCTGGCTGTGATCATGAAAGCAATATTGCTTTGCCCAACTCAAACTTATTTTGATTGCCTATAAAACATACAAACTTCAATGGGTTAAATAGTTTATAAACAAACACTTACGAAATACAAATTTCTTGAAATATTACATATAGTTAGAATAGTTATTTTTTGTCATAAGTGATAGCTCCGCAATTACAATTATTAGAAGAATTTCGATCTCGAGTAGCTTAAATCTCGATCAAACAAGATGAAACACGTATTTAAAATCATGCAGACCTAAGTTCCACCTATGAATAAAAGGTTAAAATATATAATATATTCACAAGCAGCTTCTCTTGGTATTAAAAAACTGTGCATTTGCGCATAAATGGTAGAAGGAATTTGTGCTGGACTTTGTCACCATTATGTTATTCTGAAACATAATGTCAATAAAGCACACTTCGTGATTGAGACTTTATTCAGATTTTTATTTCAATATATTGTTTAGATCTTATCACTAGGTATAAAATATAAAACCATTCAAATGTTCAATGACCAATTTCCATCAATCAAACCTAAAACAACGTATCGGGAAAATTTCTAACGCAACAAAACTAAATTAGGATGTGTTATGTGACTTGTGACAACGGCCCATATAGACAACATGTCATCCATTACCACAGCTTAATTCACACCATTGCAATTTTCAAAAGTCTGTTGACCTATCATACCTCCAAACCAAATGCCACATCATAATCATGGTGTTTCTGTATATAGGTATATTATATGTGAATATGTGAAACAAAGACCTCAGATTTGATAATCCACTCGGATATGTTTGTGCATGTATGCCAATAGAAAGAATTTTTCATAGCAATATCTATTATATATTTATGCATATTTCGTTGTTTATATCATATATCAATAAAGTACTTAAAGTTGTGGCACTGATTTGTGATTGTAAGAAATGTAACTTGAAGGTTTCAGGTGTTCTCCCAGATTTAAAATCTTTTTTATTGAACTATTCTCATTGTACTGATGCTGTATGTATTAAGTATACATTATATATACTATATATTAAATAATATATATTATTTAATATATAATTAATTAATATATATCAAATAATCTAATCTAATCCAATCACAATTTAGTGGAGTGTTTATCCCTTTTGGAGAGTATGAATGCAAGTGATATTGTTATAGTAAAGTAAGTTAGACGGATAAATTCAAGAATTTCTATTTATTATTGTTATTGTTAATATAAGTAATATTATTAATGCCATGGACATTACACTTAAAATCTATAAAAACAAAAAAAAAGTTTTGGAATTAAAATCAAAAATGAAGTTGGATCCCAATTACTAAACATTTATGGCGGTCTGGGAATCTTTATAAGAAAATTTAATTTTATATGTAAAAAATTAACACATTTAAGTAGTTTTTAAGTATTGTATTAAAACATAAAATTTTTTTATTTTAAAAATATATAATTTGAACACCTTCAACGATATTCATTTACACATACACTCGTTATTGATATTTATCAGGTAAACTTATTATATGTAACATATATGTAGCAATCAGTAGCGTTTCAAAGGAATCGATTTTGTTGCGAGAGAAGTGGGTTAGGTGATATATACTGTTCATCACGCTTAAGAGCATAGTTTTCATTTAAATTATAAGGATTTTGATATTGATTTTCAGCGTTTGAAAGCACGGTCGCAGGTTCATTGCCAAGGTTGGAAGAAACGTGTAAATCAGGTTGATTCATTTTATTTGGAAGACTCCCGTGTACGCTATCTTGTAACTGTGTTGGAGATACATCTTGCGATATAGGTACATCAGAACCTGCAGTCAGTATACTTAGGCTGTGCCCAAAAGATGGTAGATCTTTTATTAATTTGTAGTTCTCCAATTTCTGTGATGCGCTCTCGGGATTAGGTAAGCCAAAGTATTGAAAATTGTTTAAAACGTCTTGCTGAAAATGACTGCTCTCTTTTTTTTCAACATTTTGTTTATGAGGCTTGATGTCTTTATATTGTTTTCGTTGCTCTTTTAATTTAAAGTTCATATTTTGAACATATTTTTTGTGTTGACCTTGTGTGTCATTTGGTATATTTGATATTTGCTGGTTCTCCGGCATCTCTGAATATATATTGCTTTTTTTCTCTTGGACGTTGTTATATTTATTTATTTCTCCTATGTCTTGTTTTATTGGTGGTTGGTCATATTCTGAAGTATGTGCGTAGTGATTGAATTGTGTATAACTTACTGGAAGTTTTGAAGATGGCATCTGGCTGATATAGTCATGATTCCTATTTTTTTTATGAGGATATTTTGTTCTATGTTGTTGTGTTTGTACACTGTATTGATCATAGGATTTTAGAAACAAATGGTTGTCATTTTTGTTAATATTTTTCTGCTTATTCAAATCTTGAAATACTTTTTTTTTCACATCACCTTCCACTTCTCTCACATATTTGGCATGTTTGACAAGCGTTTTTCTAGTTGCAGGAATACTTGGGTACGTTTCACCTCTGTCTCTTTCCATCTTTAATGGTTTCGTTTTTACTATAATAAACTCTACTTTGGTATTCGAAATTTCCTTACCAATGTCTCCTTTATTATATTCATCCGTTAAGGATAAATTGGAATTTTTGTCGTCTTTATTCTTATCCACTGGAGCTTTATTTTCTTTAGCGGCAATTTGTACTTCATCATCTGGTGTTAATTGTCCGTACTTTTTAA